TTTTTGGATATTATCTTTTGCTTAATGATATGTTATAAACTGTTTGTTATTTCTCTTCTCGTTATTTCTTCACTCTAATCATTAATAAATTGCTTTATCAATTTGTTCCAAAAAGGGGGAAAACAATGGTTAATTAAGGGGGAGAAAGTTTTGAAAAATTGGATAATTTATCCAGGGGGAGTTTTTATAACTTGTTTTATTAAACTTTCACTAGTGGTTTTACTTGATCCATGTAAAGGAAATCAGGTAAAATTTTGTCTAAGAGAAGAAGAGAACAGAAAAGAAAAATTTCATGTTTCCTTTAACAAAATTGTAATTTACTTTTTTGCTTGGTTAGATTACATAATTGTTTTTAGGGTTTTGTCACGAAATTGCCAAAGGGGGAGATTGTGAGATATATATTTTGTAATTGGAAATTTTTGATATAAAAACAAATCCTAGTCGAGTTATAATTTTAAGTTACCATATCAAAATCGACATCGACTGTGGAATTGGAAGGTTGTTCGAAGATGAAATACTGAGATCGACGAGAAAGGAAAGAACAACACTTTTAGGAAGTCGTTTCCCACTTATAAGGACACAATACCTACATGGTATGGTTTTTCAAGTTATCAGAATTAGAGTTTTGCAAGTCCTATTACAATTCTGTCAAATGGGAACCGGTACCAACACTTGGGAATCGGTTCAAGAACAAAGGATTCGAAAAACATCATTCTGTTTAATGGGAATCGGTTCCACATATTGGTTACCTGTACCACTACTATTTTAGATTATGGCAAGTTTGATTCTTCTTCTGATTTCCTTCCTAGTTGGTTTAGAATTATACCAAAAGTCCTATATATATGCACGAATTTTCCTTTATTTTCTGAAGGATTAGGTCTTTGAGAATTCTATATAAACCCTGAAGACACCAAGTACAGCGCGGATCGGATACGGCCTACATGACACAAAATGGGCCAAGTAGGTGATCCTGATCCGAACCAACCAGTCTTAAGCTAAGCCCAAGATTGAATAGTGATGCTGAAGGCCTACTAAAAATAATCGAGCCCATGACAAGGGAGGCCCGGAACATGGCCCAGCGCGAAGAATTAGTTAGGAAACCTATAGGATCATTGTAGTAGTCTATAAATAGACTGAAAATAGAGGGAAAAGGGGAGGAAAAAATTCTTGAAGTGTAATGAAACTCTGTTAAAATCAAGAGACAAATTTCTTGCATCTTCAAACCCTGATGCACATCTAGGTTTATTATGGCTTTTGCACTACAACTTCATTATTCATAAAACCTTGGGAAGATTATTTTTGCAGAAAATTCAAGTTGATTCTCTGTCAGTCTTTCTAAAACATACATATAAACACAAAGTGAGTTTAGAGTGTTGTTCAAATCCTGATCGTGATCACACTTTGAAAAGGTCAAAGCATTCGAGGAGTGTTGTTTGATCTACCTGCTACTCTTCTACAGAGATCAAGCATAAGCCTGAGGTTAAGTGCTATTGGACGGGACGTCACAAAGCTAGAGGATTGTTAGCTATTAGTATTTGGTAGAACGATAGGGTGTGAGCAAGAGTCAAAGTTCAGTGTACTTTGTTTCAAATATAGTGGATCGTTTTACTTTGGACTGCACAGTCTACGACGTTTTTCCCACGCAAATAGTTGATCTATTTTATCAACTGTGGTTTTCTCGCTAAAAATCTTAGTGTCAACTCTAACTCTTACTTTGCTTTATTTTATTTTGCATGTGATTAATTATTTAATTGCTAAAATAAGTAAAGATTAGAAAGATACGTTATATTTCTAAAAATACAAAACTTTCTAAATATTCCGCTGCGTCTAAGGTCAAGTGCTGTTAGACAGGACGTCGCAAAGCCAGAGGATTGTCAGCTATTGGTATTTGATAGAACGATAGGGTGTGAGCAAGAGTCAAAATTCAGTGTACTTTGTTTCAAATATAATGGATCGGTTTACTTTGGACTGCACAGTCCATGAGATTTTTCCCACGCAAATAGTTGATCTATTTTATCAACTGTGATTTTCTCGCTAAAAATCTTGGTGTCAGCTCTAACTCTTACTTTGTTTTATTTTATTTTGTATGCGATTAATTATTTAATTGCTAAAATAAGTAAAGATTAGAAAGATACAGTTATGTTTCTAAAAATACAAAACTTTCTAAATATTGCACTGCGCCTAAGGTCAAGTGCTATTAGACGAGATGTCGCAAAGCCAGAAGATTATCAGCTATTGGTATTTGGTAGAACGATAGGGTGTGAGCAAGAGTCAAAGTTCAGTGTACTTTGTTTCAAATATAGTGGATCGGTTTACTTTGAACTGCACAGTCCACGAGGTTTTTTCCACGCAAATAGTTGATCTATTTTATCAATTATAGTTTTTTCGCTAAAAATCTTGTTGTCAGCTCTAACTCTTACTTTGCTTTATTTCATTTTGCAGGTGATTAATTATTTAATTGCTAAAATAAGTAAAGATTAGAAAGATACAGTTCTGTTTCTTAAAATACAAAACTTTCTAAATATTTCGCTGCGTACAACTCACATCTACATTGAAATTTATTAATTTTAACGTCACATGCATTTTAAGAAGTTGAGGAGATATCATTAAATCATTAATTTTTGTTAATTGGTTCATTGTACGTAAGGTTTTGAATAATGTATACTTTTTCAAAAAGCAAACAGAAAGATTTTGGATCATTTTTATTGTCACATTCACTGCAAAGCATAGTCAACAAAGTAATAACATTAACCAAAAGCACCAATCACATGCAAAGCACAATCAACAAAGCAATAACAAAAACGAAAAACACTAATCACGTGAAATACAAGTTTGACAAGCATAGGACTCCACATGGATCAAAATTCAAAACTAACTTTCCCCTGGATCACATTTAGATAGTGAGTTATTTATTGACTTTAGCACCAACTCTAGCTTATTTATATTAACTAGCTTCTTATTCTGAACTAGCTGATTTAGCTATGAGCAATCCACCCTGGTGATTGATCCAAAATCTTTTGCAATTGATTTTCAACCGATCAAAATAGATATTGTATTTTTAAAAATTTTACCATTTACAAGAAACCCATGAGTTTTGTGATTGTTTTTCAATCCATCAAAATGCCGATCTACAGCTGTCGCGAGCACAATTTTTAATTTTTATTTTTAATTTTTTTTATTTTTTGTAATGAGCGAGCACTCGTCCTTAGTTATACCTAAGTTTTTTTTGGTATAGTTGGTTATACCTAAGTTGTCATTATTGTGGCTAACACCCCTCTTTAGTTATACTTAAGTTGTGAATAAATGAGGATTTAACTCTTTGGTTAGTAGGACAATAGGTCTCAATTGCCATACCAAAATAAAGGTAACCCAATGCACAAGAATATATTGAGTGCGTCACACGCCACGTGATTTATATGCCCATCCAAATCAATGTCTAAAATTTATGCACGTTTTTGTTATTCCAAAATAATTCGGATTCAAATTCAAACCCTAAGTTTGAAAATTGGACATTGAAATTGTGAATTATATCTTTAGCATTAAAAGCAATTTACTGACTTGTTTTGAATGTACAATTATGGAAGTTTGAAAATTGTATATATAAATTGGGATTTATGTTATTAGCATTAAAAGCAATTTACTGGCTTGTTTTGAATGTGCAAATATGGATCAAACCAAAGTTTGAAAATTGGGACACGTTATTAGCATTAACAGCAATTTACTGGCTTGTTTTGAATAGAAAATTTCCAATTCTAAGTTTGAAAATTCGATATGGAATTGGGAAGATGTTATTAGCATTAAAAGCAATTACTGGCTTGTTTTGCATATACAAATTTCAACCCTAAGTTTAAAGATTGGACATTGAAACTGGAAATTGTGTCATTCGCATTAAAAGCAATCCTCTGCAGGCTTGTTTTGAGGATCTCACTTCTTCTATTATCTTCAATTAAACAACAACAAATATGGCTTACACCGCAAAATCTTTTGCCACTAAAGAAATTTAGTGACTGAAGTTTTTATCTTTATTTATAATAAAGAAAAAATACCTCACCTCCCTAGGTTTGTTCAAATATCTCCCAATCAAAATTATTGTCAAAATAGTCTTTGCATATATAATGGAAAAATTAGTGACATGTATTACAGTTGACTAGCTTGATAAATAAATTTGGAAACCAGTCTAACAAACCATAAAATATTTTTCAGCAAATCATTTGAGCTATATGTGTATGCTATAGTTAATTATAATCTAATTAAATATATAATTAGTGATCATCTACTCCATACATACACTCCTAAAAATGAAAAAGAAACATCAACTATTCTGGCTTCTCATCATGCTCTATTTATTGTAGAACACCCTTTTCCTAAAAACCAGTTTATGTGGTGTTAATGATCTCAATTTAATTTTTCCTCCATTTTCTGATATATTATCCTAGGAATGGATAAGAGAGATACTTTTGTACAACTAACATTCCACCTATTTGGTTGTAATGCTAGTTGGGCACTTTGGGCTTCTGGCTAGGACCCATGTTGTTGTTCTTTAAGCATTCCTCAGGCTACTATGTAATTTCTCTTTATTCAATGAAATTTAACCTTTACTTTCAGAAAAAAAAAAAAAAAAAAAAAAGAAAAGAAAAAATAACATTCCACCACTCAAGATTTAAACACTCAGATACAGAGAATCATGTGTTCCATATCTTTCACTTGGTTGTTGAAGTTTTATTGTCTGATTGTAATTTCATTCCAAGTCATCATTGTTAAATTGATCTCTTCAACATTATTACTTGTCGCTGCAAACAAGCTAGCGCTGCCATTTGTGAAAAAAGATTGAGAGCTTTAGTTTGGTATCATGACATCCCAACCATTCTTGCAGCACCAGACGATCCCCACGCGTCAGACTAAAATTCAATAAAATATTATTACTCTCACCAAAAAATAATATTTTTAGATAACATTTCTTGAATTTAGAAGGTATATGTAATATAATACATTCATTCATTGACATTTTTAATGTTCAAACCTACAATTCTCTTATTATGGTCTTACCTACAATACCAACTTACAGTGACTACCGTACTATATATAGGATTTTCCATGGAATCTTCAATTGTCCTGTGGGACCTTTCAATGTGCATCCGTACTTATATACACGCCAAGTAACTACAAATTCAGTCAAAAAAAAAAAAAATTTAAGTACCATATTTTTACAACACTTGAAACAGTCAACTCACAGTCTCTATAAATAGGTACCCTCACCTTGTTCAAATGGTACTCAGGGTTTCAGGAATTCATTTATATTCTTCAAGGCTCTTGAAATTGTAACTTCAAAACCTACCTTCAGTTTATCCATCAGCACGTACTCTAAAACTTAAATCTTTTTCTCCCCTCTCTCTCTCTTCGTACATACCTTCTCCTGAATTTATCATGGAAGGAGCAAAATCAACTTTACAGCCTCCAACTTTCGGAAATTTGATCACCATTCTTAGCATTGATGGTGGTGGAATTAGAGGAATTATCCCCGGGATTATCCTTAACTTCCTAGAGTCCCAACTCCAGGTATACAATATAGACTTGGAGCTATATATATATATATATATATATCCATATACTCTAAAAGTCATCGTTTATATCATGGATGACACTGCATCTACTAAGCTCAATACCTATTAATTAAGTTTATATGTATATATATGTGTGTACATATCTTAATTCATGGATGATATGTTTGTGTATATGTATTAATTCATTCACGATGGTTTGGTGCAGAAACTGGACGGTGAGGATGCAAGAATTGCAGACTATTTCGACGTGATTGCAGGAACAAGCACTGGCGGTCTTGTGACTGCCATGCTAACAACACCAAATGAAAAGAACCGCCCAACGTTTGCTGCCAAAGACATCAAGGAATTCTACCTCCAACACTGCCCTAAAATCTTCCCTCAGGACAGGTGAACCACAATGTCACTAACATAATGCTATTTTCTATTATATAGTTTATATATAAACATGTGCATGATCATATATATATGTTTTCATTTTACTACAGTTGTCCATTTGCTCATGCTACAAAAGTCATGAAGGCTCTCTCAGGACCCAAATATGATGGCAAGTATCTCCACAATATCGTTAAAGAAAAACTGGGAAACACAAGGTTGCACCAAACATTAACTAATGTTGTGATCCCTACTTTCGACATCAAGAAACTTCAACCAACCATCTTCTCAAGTTATCAGGTACATATATATATATCTATATTTAAGATTGACCCTTTTCATTTTACTAACTTTATGTATCATCATTAATGAAACTAAACTTGTTTGCATTACTATTGTTTCCCTGGTTTAGGCGAAGAACAACCCAAGCTTAGATGTCTTACTCTCCGATGTATGTATTTCGACTTCAGCTGCCCCAACCTATCTTCCTGCCTATCATTTTGAAAACAAGGATTCCTCTGGAAAAGTGACAGAATTCAATCTTATTGATGGTGGTGTAGCTGCTAATAATCCGGTATATTAATTAACATGCTTAACGTTGGATTTAGTAATTTAATTAGGATTACTATAGAGAATTTCTTCTGATGCTTTTGTTTGGTTTCAGGCTTTGCTTGCTATGGGTGAAGTGACAAAGGCAATTAACCGGGGCAATCCTGACTTCATTGCTATAAATCCGGACTATAATAGGTTTCTTGTTGTATCCTTAGGGACTGGTACAGCAAAAGCCGAAGAGAAATATGATGCAGATGATGCAGCAAAATGGGGTGTTTTGGGATGGTTGACAAGTAATGGTTCGACTCCACTAGTTGATGTGTTTACTCAAGCAAGTGGTGATTTGGTGGACTTCCACATTTCTACAGTGTTTCAAGCCCTTAACTCCAAAGAAAATTATCTTCGGATTCAGGTATGAATGTATACACATCCACATACTATATTCTAAATTTTATTATTTTGTATTTTAAATTCAATTTATAAAAATTCCAAACTAAATTTTACGTCGTTTGTCTTATTATTTTGTAATGACTTTTTAAATTTGAACAAGCAGGATGATACATTAAATGGTACTGTGGCATCAACCGATGTTGCAACTAAGCAAAACTTAGATGATTTGGTAAAAGCCGGCCACCAATTGTTGAAGAAACCAGTTTCGAGGGTAAATTTAGAGACTGGTGTGTATGAACCTTCTAATAATGGTACCAATGAGGAGGCTCTCATAAGGTATAAAACTAGATATATATATATATATAACCTCTAATTTCTAATCATAAATTAGCATCCCATTAATTAAAACTCTTCTATTCATTGTTAATTAATTTGTAATTAATTGTTTAATACATGTAGGTTGGCAGAAATCCTCTCGAAGGAGAAGCAGCTTCGTGACGCCAGATCACCACGCCAGCAAGTCGCAAAGTTCAACTGATATATTTGATTTGATTTCCTTACAAAAATTCTACTAATCATTTTTTTAATATTTTAAAGGCAAAATTCTTATTATTTGACTTGTATTCAATTGTAATTTACCTCTTGTGCGAATAAATCGTGGGTGTATGTCACTTGATGTAACTCATTATACAATTTTTTTTTTTCAGTATTTGAATAAATTAAGAATTATGTATTGGTATTTTACATTGTCCATCATTTTCTTTTTCAAGCAAGTCTTTTTTTGAGAAGTCCACACGTTACTAATTTAGTCATACTTACAACAAAATTTATAGAACGTCTTTAAAAAATTCTTGAGTTTGCAGAAGCAAATATAAATTAACATCCAAAGAAAAAAACCCAACAACAATGTGTTTTTGACTTTCTCTTTTTTAAATAAAACAAATAGAGATGAAATAAGGCCAAGAACATTTTTTAAGAATCAGAATAGATAATCGTTTTCAGTTTTTTCAGGTTGAAAATCTGTTTGGTTTGAAATTACAAAAACAGTTTCTGAAGAACAAAAACTCATAAATTTGCTTGGTTATATTTGAAAATAATTTTCTAAATTAATCAACACATTTATTTTACACAAAATTAATTACCAAATCATGAAAGAAAAAAGAATAAAAATCCAATTACATGAAAGGATGTCAACTATCATAGTACCAATAATATTTACTATTAATTAACAAACATCTCATTTGAATATATACATCCAAATAATTTAGACTATACGGTTTATGATTAGGCCAAGTAGTTATAATTTGAAATTTGAAAAATTCTCTAACTTTGAGTGTGATCCATGGACGTCTTGAAAATAGAAAAGGTTTAGTTACATTGATGGGTCAAACATGAGACCATCAATGTAACTTTAGATGTAGACACTTGTTATTAGCATTGATCATTAATATTAATAGCTTTAAACATTTAAACTCAAAGATGAAAAATATTTCCAATTGCAAACCTCATCAAAGAAATTATGAACCTTTATGATAAATATCCTTCACCAAACAAGATTAAACATTCCCCTTCTAACAATATATTATTCATATTCATATATATATATATATAAGGGCAATTATCAACTCTATAACCCCAAAAAAAATATTTCATATTCATTAGCTCAATTATCTATTCATCCGCATAGTAACAAAGTATATAGGAGTTGCTTCTTTCTACACTACCAATAAAGGATTTTAAAAAATAATAATAAAAAATAAATATTAAAACAAGAGAGAGACCCTCAAACTTCAATCATTCATTCAGCCAAAAAAAAATCAATATCATGGAATGGACTGTCAAGGATTTCGTATTTACCACTAATTTACCCCTAAAACCCCATTTTGTTAGTCTAGATCTTCCTAACAAAAGCTCAATAAATTCCTCCTCCCCCAAATCATCATCAAAAGCGAAACTACAAAATTAATTAAGACCCTCAGAAATTCTCTATTCCGAACAATGTCTTCTTTGTTCTTCTCGGCTTCTTAGACGCATTTTTCCCAAGAAGTTGTCTCTGCATCCACCTCCTTTCATGAACAAGCAAAACCTACTTTCTCCCCCTCCTTCATCTTCACCTTCCTGATATTTTCTAGATTGATTTGTTGTTGATCTGGTTCTAGGATTCCCTTTTCTACCACTGCTAGTTGAACTGAAGCATGAATTGTAGGGTTTGGGTTTTAGAGGATCTGGGTTTAGGGAAGAAGCGCAAGGCACAAAGAGATCGATCATGGTGACTCAAAAATCTGCAACTATTAAAAGAAAGAAGGGAGAGTGTGTATTGTGTGGCCGTCAGAGAAACTGATATAGGACAGAATCCATAACAGTTGGACAAGTCCGTTTTCGACAAACCAATAATATTATTTTGGTGAAAACAACACATTGAAAAAAACCCCACAAGCTTTAGCCATGTTAGTTTTTGGCTGAAAATCTTCCTTTAGGGTTCTAAAATCGCGTTTTATTGTATTATTGGAGGTTTGCGGATTATTTGGGAATTTTTGTTCGAGGACTTAATGAAGTCATAATGATCTGAGATTCTAGATTTAGTATTTTTTATTTATTAGGTTTCTTATTCTATTTTTTCAGAATTTTTAGAAAAATTTTATTTTTATTATTATTTTTAGGCTTATTTTCCTTTTACTAACTATTAAATTTCTTTATGTTTTAGTTTTCTTTTAGAGTTAGGTTTCTTTATGTTTTAGTTTTCTTTTAGAACTATATTTTCTTTTATTATAAATATGTGTACTACCAAATGCAGAATTAACTTTTATTCATTCAATTATCAATACAAATATCAATTTTTTTGTGAAATTATCTTTTATTTTGTGAATTCAAAACACCCACCTGGTGGATTCAAGATAATCTGTTCCTTGTGAACTAATTTATCGCTTCTTCTTACGTCAGTTGGTATCAGAGCTTTGTCTTTTCGTGGACGGATGGCAATTGATTGTTTTCATGGCAACCTCGCTGGCGACGAAGATCAACAGAGAGTGGCTCTTTTCAAAGTCGAATTTCAAGGCTATCAATGTAAAACCCGGCGAACGTTTCAAAATATTCAAACAATGATCACTAGGTTTGAGTTCGATCAAAATCGTGAGAGTAATAGGGTGCGTAACGTTGACGAAGATCACGATCGATCTGTTCGGAATCACAACCCCATCCCGCCACATAAGCAGCTAGCCTATGAGGAAAAATTCAGTGATGATGAAGATTACTTTGAAGAGGTACGGTCTTTGGGGGTTATAGAAACACACGAAAATATTATAATCATGGGGGTTATGATCATAGGAATTTTCCTCCTAATTTTGATGGTCTATTTCATGTTGAAGATTTTTTGGATTGGCTAGAAAAGTTTGAGAGGTTCTTTGATTATATAGAAATTAAAGAGGAAAATAAGGTTGCACTGGTTGCATATAAATTTGAAGGAATAGCTTTTAATTGGTAGGAATAGTTGTGAGTTTCTCGTGCACAACAAAGAAAAGCACCATTACAATCTTGGTTGAAGATAAAACGTCTTTTGCAAGCCAAGTTTCTTCCACCTTACTATGAGATTAGTCATAAGAATAGTTTTGTTGTTTCATCTCTAGTTGTTGAAGTTGATGTCGTTAAGGAATTTAAAGCGACTAAAGAAGAAGATGGTGACAAGAAGTTTGATGTTAAAAACGAAAAATATGAATCAATTGATGATGGGGTCAAAGAAAATTTTTAATTGCATGTTCAAGATGGTTTTGATGAATTTGAGATTCAAATTGGTGAAGGATCATTATTTGAACAAATTGCAAGTGAAGAAATTTTTATTTAGGAAGAAGCAATTGATGAAGATCTTTTTGTGTTGTACTTTGGAGGTTCTTATGGCAATGAACAGTATGATCTTGTGGTAGGCAATACTTCACGTTATTCGTAGCCAAACTCGAGGACGAGTTTTTTTTTGAAGTAGAAGGGACTTATGTAGGACAGAATTCTGAACAGTTCGACAAGTCAGTTTTCGACAAACCAATAGTGTTTTTTGAGTGGAAACGATGCATTAAGAAAAACCTAGTAGCTTCAACTTATGGGCCATGTTGGTTTTCGGCTGAAAACCTTTCATTTAAGGCTCCCAAATCGCATTTTATTGTATTATAGGAAGTCTGCGGATTATTTGGGGATTTTTGTTCGAGGCCTTAATAAAGTCGTAATGATTTGAGAATTCAGATTTAGTTTTTTTTTTTTATTAGCTTTCTTATTTTATTTTTTTAAATTTTTTTAGAGAAACTTTATTTTTAGTCTTAGTTTTAGGCTTATTTTCCTTTTACTAACCTACTAGATTTCTTTATATTCTAGTTTTTTTTTCTAGAGTTAGGTTTCTTTATGTTTTAGTTTTCTTTTAGAACTAGATTTTTTTTTTTTTTATATTATAAATACGTGTTCTACCAAGTGCAGAACTAACTTTTATTCATTTAATTATCAATACAAATATCAGAAATTATCCTTTGTTTTGTTGATTCAAAACACCCATATTGTGGATTTAAGATAATTTGTTCCTCGTGAACAAATTTGTTACTTCCGCTACGTCAGAAACGTTATAAACAATATGATTTCACGCCTTGTCCATACTTTTTATATAGCCCATATTGTTCTTCATGTTTTCCAACTCCTAGTTTCCAAAACTCCCAAAACACCTTTATTCCGTTCTCCAAAAACCCACACTCTTGTAACTCTATTTTCCAAAAACTGATCCAGACAATCCAAAAATAAGTTTTTTTAGTTTTTTTCACTCTAAAACTGTTCTCAAAGTGTCATTCCAAGCAAGATCCTACTCTATTTTTCAAAAACTGATCCAGACAATCCAAAAATAAGTTTTTTTAGTTTTTGTCACTCTAAAACTGTTCTCAAAGTGTCATTCCAAGCAAAGATCCTATTTTTTGAGAAGCCAATGAATAATCATCTTTGACTTAATAGACTAATTTATGGCGACGTAGTTAAGTCACTGCAATATTATAATAATATTTCTTTTTGTAGAAAAAATAGAGATTAGCTGGAAGCCTAAGAATTCAGTTGCTATTAGTAGATGAGATATCTTATCCATAATTGCATTCAGGAGGAATGCTAATTGCAGTCACGCAAGTGACTGCTCATTTACAGTCGTCAGTTAGGATTGATTAGTTTTGAATGCATTAATTACTTTGAGTTTCTATTTTTATAGACTTTACTAATATTACTTTTTAGACAAAAATACCTTTTTAAATTATGTCTTTCTTCTTATCTCCTCTTTTAATCGATTTATATAGGGATGTGTGCATATGTGTGTATATATATAATAATAATAACTAATGTGATATGAATGGATGCTGAAAAAGGAGAAAAAAAAAAAGAAAAAGAAAAAGTTAAATAGGATAATTCATTCACAATAAATAGATCCTGATAAAAAAAAAAAAAAAAAATCCAAAAAAGAACAAGATAGATTCTGAGATTTAAAATATATATATATAAAATTAGTTTTATACACGTATATATTTCTTTTTTGGTGAAGGAATTATTTCTTTTTCTTTTATTTCCTTTTTTTTTTTAAAATCCATTTATACAAGGATAGTTGTAAAAATTAAAAATAAAAATAAAAACAAAAAGAAACATATATAGGAAAAAACAAAAAGGAAGAAATATATAATCGATTTTTTTTTTACCTTTTTTTTTATTCTTTTTCGATTTTTTTCTCAGTCTTTTTTT